TTTATATAAAGTAGCTTACCTTAATAGGCAGCTCGCCTTACTATCTAGCACTACCTTTAAGTGGTAAGTAAAACGAGACGTCTAAAATAGTGGGGCGGGCACGAGTATAGCCAATAGACTTATCGCATAAGCACGTCCCCTTGGGTCTCCGAGAAGTGCCATCGGCCAAGAGGTATGCCTGACTATCATTGGGACGCAGAATCTTTCTGAGAGAGCCCAGAGGTATATAAAACGCCACCTAGGCGCAAGCCTACTGCGTCAAGTTTTCTTAAAAGTGTACTCCGTAACTACTAACCAGTCACTACTCAATATTTTGTCTCATTATTGCCTGTCACACAGAGGCATCCCCTAAATGCAGCGAAGGCGGCAGTGAGGTCACGAAACCCACAACGCCCCTGCCAGCAGCCGGTAACCAAAAGTGACTTTAGTGGTAGCCAGAGCATTAACTGTAGTGTAGTTTTGTAGTTTTGTAGTTTTTGTAGTTTTAAATATAAAAAATTATATTAAATCTAATAAAATACTTATAAGATTATAAGTTTATTAGATTTATTATTAATTATTTAAGCTTTTTTAAAAATTAAAAATGTAGTTTTCTTGTTAATGCTCTGGTGGTAGCTTATGTTAGGCCTAATAAAGGTCCGGTTATGACGTGTGTAATGTAGCTCTCTGTAACTTAAAAGTATAGTAGTACTTTTATTATCATATAAATTAAGTGTTAAATTAAGTACCTTTTATTTTCTGGCTTTTAATTGGCTTAAAATCCCTGTCGCGACCTCACTGCCGCCTTCGCTGCATTTAGGGGATTTAAAGAAACAAGCGGTTGAAGCCTCGTTCCCACCAGTCACCGTCTCGAGCCGTGGCTCACAGCCTTACGCCTTTTCCGAAACATCCCCGCCGTCTTCGATCATTTCCTCTCCGAGCGAGTTCCGGTGTGTACCCTATCCCTTTTAGTATTATGCAATTCATCTACCTAATCCCCTCTGGTGTGTTAAGGCTCCAGAGGGATTACGAGCGCCACAAGGCACATGCTGATAGCGGGTGACCTTAGGGCGACCCGTTAATCGCGCTAGAACTATACTAAATTAAATGTAGTAATTTGTAAAATACTATCTTTTAGGTACACTTATAATCACTTAATATTATTGTAAGTAAATGTACCTTTTTAAACTTAGCTTCTTATTGGATATATATCCCTGCAGATACTCGATTGGAGCCTTAACACACCAGAGGGGATATGTATAAGCCTACGCTTCGTCATGCCGGGCAACAAATATCGAGTTTCAGTTGCAGGCTTCAGACGCGATGGCATCTCTGACGACCCTTCCCTGGAGTCAACTTATGGCCACGCCATGTATCATTGGGGTATCTGGGTAGAGCCAAAGAAGACCCAAGGATCGGGACGCCTGTATCACGTGGAAGAGCATCCGCCGATGAACAGCGCAGGGGGCGTGATTCCTGGAGGCTGGAAAATGGAGCCGCGCAACTCTGATTTCCAATCTAGCCGGCGCTTGATCGGGCTGATAATGATCGGCAAGCTCCCGGCCGGCAAGGGTTACCGCGAGACCGAGGCTCTTCTACGTCAGGTTCCGGCACCAGTCGAAGGCAGTAGCGAGAATTGTATTACCTGGACGATGAATGGGATACGTTTACTTCAGGGTCAAAGACCGACTCCCTGGGCAGAGGAGTTCAATGTCAAAGAATTCATGGACCACGCTTATAGTCGCACCAAGACTTGGCACCTTCAGAACGACTAGAGGTTCGCTGGCTGTAAAGAGAGCTATGTAAAGCGAAAGTTTTAATGTGGTGTATTCCTATTACTCACAACTGAACAAGTAGTCGAATTAGAGACTAGTAGATTTACTTTTTGACTTTTAATAGTCGTATATTCACCTTCTGCGTTAGATGATGAGCCTTGATGTGCACCTACGCTGCTTACGAGGCATTTCTATACTTGTAGATATGAAGAAGCTACCGTGTCGAATAATTTACCGAGAATCACGCACTTAAAGCTCGAAGGTATATAAAGAGTTGCTATTAGACCAACTTGGTGCATTTACAAGACGGTGGTATCCCGGTTTGAAGAGCCTCAACTCCTTTCGTAAACAAACTTTTGTAATGAGTGGGGATATTTCAAATACCGACTTGAATTGTCGAAAAAAAAAAAGGCCCTCTCTTGGACTGGTCTACATCGACCGCCATGGTTGAGATACCTCGAGCGGCACTGGTGCCAACACCTCAGTTTCGCTGGCCGTTCATACGAGCATATTACATTGAGCACTGCCCTACTCACAATATTTCCAATAAAAAAGCAAAGTCAAGCGATATTATTGCCATCGACATGAAACTACATCACGTCCACCCGATCAAAGTCGACCAACATCCTTCACCAATACCGCTCCACACCCAATCTGCCTTGGCCATGAATCTTGCACCAATGCAATAACGACAACCAGAGATTGCAAAAGGCCACAGGCCAACAGGGCCAAAAACAAAACAAGAACAAAGAAAAAAAGAAAAAAAGTGACTCATCGACTCTGTCCCAAACGATTCCTGCAAGCCAAAAGACCGCGTTAATCGTGTACCAAACGCTCATCAGACTGAACAAAATAAAAACCCTGAAATCCTCGTCCTTAGTCCTTGCAAAACCACAAACACACGACTGGCTTCTCACGTGGATTTCCAGTCCTTGTGGCATCCCACCCAATTTCCTTGATAGACTTCTTCATGAGATCCTTGTTTCCGCCATTTACTTCCAGACCTTTATACCACTTCCCACCACCAGCGCTCTGGATTTCAAACACCTTGTTCTTCTTCGGCACAGGGTTAGTACAGCCAAAGCCTTTGAGCAACTCCTCGAGGGTCGTGTTGCAAGGGATATGGACGGCTTTGAAGGGAAGCTGAGCCGTGGCGGGCAGCTGCCAGGGGGGAATGTTGGATCGAAAAACATGGGCCTTCGTGTGCTCGGCGGCAAAGAACAGGTTATAACCGGGCTCGCAACCCACGCCTCCTGTCGAGTTAGTCATTTGCGCGGCGGGCATCGTGGGATCGATCGCAGGCCAAGGCTGCGGCTGGCGTGGGAGGATATTGCCCGTTCCGTTGGGCTGGTAGGAGAAGGTCTGTTGAGTGTAATACCCGCCCGCTGGGCCGGCTTGGGGCACATAGCTAGCGGGGTACACTCCCGGACTTGCTAACGGGTGCATAGTGTAAGAGAATCCTGCCCACGTGTTGTAGTGAGGTACTGTACCAAAATTATATCCCGGCCCGCCAGAATGAAAGATATACGGCTGGCCTTGGCTGGGAAGAGGGGCCCCATAAGGAGCATGGTTCGGACGTGTGCCGCTTGGGTCACGGCCCGTGATGGGATTCCAGCCTCCAGACATTTCGTACACAGTGTCGTCGGGTGTGGCCCAAGGGGAGGCGTACGATGACGGGGTATTCAAGGTATTCAGAACAGAGGTTGCCAGGTATGGACCCAACGACCTGAGCCAACGTCGAAGCTTGCCTGCCAGTGACCGGGAACTGGCCCTTGAGAAACCGGATCCCAAGCCGGCGGAGCAATATACGTGGCAATAGAAGCTGCCGGTGTGGGGAGAAGAAATGGATGAGAGTAGGCTGTGTGGGAGACTGGCAAGTCAACGTTCAGATTCTCTTCTGCTGCCGAACCGGCCACTATAAATCGTAAGCAAAATGGGTCAATCGCGCATGGTTCGAGATGAGGCAGACACAGATGAAAGTAACGCAAGGCCACCACCAGGAAGAGCGAGCAAACTAATGACATTGCGGCATCATGTCGGTGTTACTTACCAGGGTCTGGTTCTTGTTCCTCGCTATCGTAACAAGAATCTGTAGACTCGCTAGCAGAGTCAGCAGTAGATTCACCGCCGTCCGAGTCCAAATCGTTGTCAATTTGGCTAATCAGTATTTCTGTGCTCCAGAGAGGTCGACTGTGACGATCGTAAAAGGCTCCAACTATGATCCACGCCCAGGTGAAAGTCTCGTTGCAAGTCGCAAAATATTGTGTGACAACGAGCTTGGCTGCAGGAAACGGAAGGAAATGCTCGTCTACTTGAATGGTCCTATGCTGGACACGAGGCGAAGCAGGCATCAGGTTCAAGTAGTTTGCACACGAAAACAAGATCAATATTGGAGGCAAGTCTCGGTTCAAAAGTGACAAATACTAGGGATGGTAGAGAGGAGAGAAAATGCAGTTCGATGTACACAGGTCACTCGGCCCCTTTATCGAGCGTCGGAGTCGACAGTATGGACAAGAGATCTTGTAGTCAGACGAGGGCGTGGTCAAGACAGATGATTCAGAGCCAAGTTTCTGACGATCAGGTCGTGCGAGTTGTTAATCAGCCATGGAAATACGTCTTCCGCAAGGCATCCCATCATCCGACCATCATTTGTGAAGTAGATCAGATGGCTCATCCAACTGGATTTCCCACCAGATGTGGCCTTATGCGCCCCAGCAACGTCCCACGCAAACGAACATCTGTCATTGCAGCAAGTTGTACTGCCAGCTGAAGCAAAGATTCAGAGTCGCCAGCCAGGAATGTACTAGTGTGCTTGTGAGATACAATCACTTCGTCTCACAGAGATGGGGGATTGGCCAGCAAATCGTTTCAACAAACCGCACTCGCACCATTGAGTTTGCTAGGCATTGTGCCAGACTTGTCTGCGTAGGCCGTGCGGAGCGTTATGGTACTAATGTTGTCATTTTCTATTCGTCGCGAGTCTGGGTCAGAAGATTCTTCCCCGGCGCCTGTACGTTCCTGCCCAGCAGGAGAGAGAAATCCCCATTAATCATCGTCGCTATCCACAGTGACGACGCGCACTGCCCCGGCTTTCTTGTTCCTGGTAGCTTCGATTTCTTTCTTCAGCTGCTGCCGTCTCCCGACCTCAGTCACCAGTCCTTTGAGATATACCTCGGATTGCACGGTGGCGCTGTATGCAGCAGGAGTCCAGTTCCAAATGTTTCGTCGTTCTACGTCGGCTCCGGCTGCGAGTAGAGTCCGCAGTCCGAGTAAATTCCCATTGCTGCTCGCAAAATGTAAAGCTGTATTGCCTTCCAGATCGGCCCGCTGAACCGCTTCACGTGGACCGCCCGGCACATAAGTCAAAAGGATCTGAAGCGCAGTATCATGACCACCCATGCTGGCCTCCATAATGGCGTCACGGCCTCTGACATCTCGTCGCAAGATGCAGCTTCTGTCGTATTCGCAAAGTAAATGCACAACTTCCGAGTGTCCAGCGGCGGCAGCCAGCATCAGAGCTGTTTGATGATTCTCGTTCAGGGCAGGGCAGGGATCCTCGTGGCCGGCTTTCAACAGAGCCTCACATATTTCCTTGTGGCCGAGAGATGCTGCTAGATGTAGGTTCGAGTTGGATAGCCCGGGTAATGAAGAATCGGGGTTGTGGAGGAGAGGTGGATGAGACTTGAGGATTCGTATGGCAAGGAGGCTGTCGCCGACGTGAATGGCTCGTCGCAGACGAATGGCCGGATCGATCCTGCAATGGAAAATCAGGGTCAGTCATGGGGTTCATGCATGGTATTAGAAAAGCAGCTCACATGGCGGGTAGTGTCTCATGACGCGAAACGGGCTCAATGGTCCGGGGAAGATGGAAGTATTGAGCAGAAGACAGTTGTGAAGATGATGACAGCTGCAGCCGACGAGCATCAAACACTCAGATCCACGTGGAGTCACGGAGCTTCATCCCCGCGTCGACGGGGAGCCCCTGTGTCACATGTTGAGTGACAACTTCCTCCCTACAACAACGCAATTCGCAACACAGGCCTTGGGAATATAATGCAGGGATCCAAAAGCCATCAATTTGGTGCCTTGTACTTTGAGATGCCGCTGAATTATCGCCAAATTTTGAAAATGTGGTGTCAAGTTACACTCGCGTTGGACAGTGGACACACTAGCCAGCAGCTAGACACGTCGGAAGAGCAGGCGGCCATGAGCTCTCACGGCCATCACACAATCTAGAGCTGCGCATAAAAAACTCGACGTACCCGAAAGATGCTCTCAGGCTGGTAAGATTATCTTTTCGTCTAAATCTATTGAACTGAAGAAAAAAAAATTGTACTCAGTCACTGTATACTATGTACGCCATCTAATCATGACATCATCAGCTCGCTCACGGCCGTCACGTCGTCCAAATCTAAAGTCCAAGAAACAAGGCCAGTCGACCGCAAAATCCCCCAAAAATTCGTCTATGCGAAAAGTTCACTGATATCCCGCTTGGAATTACGCTTGATACCACACTTATTCAGACACGTGTCAATCCCCAACGCAACATTCGCAGGAATCATGCCCCGGAAAGATTCAATGTCTGCCCCATTCAACGACTGCACACCACCAAGTGTCGCGCTCACAATGTCAGGTCGCAGGCTGAAAAAGTTCTGGGCAATGGTCTGAACACCAGGATCGGCGCTGTTGAATCCAGCGACGAACACGGTATCCGTGCAGTCGGGGTTGAACTCAACATGGACAGCACCCTGCGGAAACACAGCCATCTGGAACTTTGTCAGTGTGTTTGAGACGGGCGTGGCACCATTTTCCTCGACAAAATTGGTAACGAGACGGCCCTGAGCAACAAAGTTGAGCTCAGTGGCGCGGTTGTGAACATGTGGAGTGTTCATGCCGCAGGGCCCGAGGAAGCCAACAGTCATGGCGGCACCGTTCCCAACGAGGGCAGGGAAAGTCTTGGATGTGGCAGAGATGGTAGAACCTCCTTTGCCCTTGGCTTCAGAGCCAGCGGCCGTGTCGTCAACGTTGAAGTCGAAGACAAAATCGCCGGGCTGATCGAGGAGCTTAAGCCGGTCAGCCTGGGTTGGGGCAGTCATGAGCTTGGCGATAAGGTCGACGCTGTCGGCACGAGTGTTGACCTTGACGACAGGAGGGAGGACGGCATTGATGCCGACACTTGAATCTCCTGCTCGCTTGGAGGGAGCAGCGGTGGCGGCACCAGCCAGGAGGATGAGAGAAGAGATGGTAGTCGGATGCATATTCGAATGGATAGATAAGTGTGTGAGGTGTTGTGCTGGGAGGAATTGGAATCTTTGATGAGGGTTGAGGCTCAGACGATATTGTAGATGGATTCAGCTCGTTCGATTCACGGGAAGAGCTACCATCTTATATCATGCTGCCCCTCACAAACAATGGTTCTACAGACTTACACGGCCTACCCCATTTTGCAAGGACCCAATACAGCAAGGACATCATCTATCAGAATAATCTGTACACGCGCCGCAGCTATTCCCATGCCCAACAATGCAACAATTCAACAATGCCACGGCCCATTTCCAAAAACAGCAATTCTGCCCCGCAAAACATGTCTGCAAACTCCAATTGGTTGGCTGGATTTGTTTCCTGACTGGATGTGGCTCAGGTCGGCTGCGTCCAAGATCAGCATGGCTGAGGGTTGACGGGAGGAGAAATAGCCGCGCTCTTGGCGGTCTTTTGTTATCAGCTCCATGTCATCCTGTCATCCTGTCAGCCTGTCATCCATGTCCCGGATCGCCGGGAAGGAATTTGTTCATGTTTACATATCCATGCAATTGGGGCTGACGAGTCTCCATTGTGCCAGCACAAAGGGGCTTCGTAAAGTCCACACGACAACGGGGCGTGAGAAATGGCCCGGACTTGGTATCGCCGTAGGAACTAATATTTCATTCCATGCTTAATGTTGAAGCCGACAGTTGAATTGAATGTGGCTCAATTTCCAGAAACATTGGTGGGCGTCGATCTCCCTTCATGATCATCAGAGCTTGCTGTCCGTCCTGGCGAGTCAGGTGACAGCATTCGGTGCTCTCCAATTGGAACATGCATCTCAATAAGCATTGATATGGACCTTGATTCAGACAATGATTACCTTTGCATGTTTGCATAGATGCATTCGGATAGATGTTTCCCGTATCATGGTCGGCAGCACAGCCTCAAAACGGCACCAGAAAATAGAACGGAAACAAAGTATCCGGTTGGTGGATCTGCACGACGTCTGGTGGACTGCTCTCCTCTCAAGGTAGAGTGGATCCTCTCCGCAAAGCTTTCAACATCTGTCATGCTCTTGATCAAGCGTCAGACGTCGAAAACACGTACCCTTCAGCGCCAACAGCGAGATGCGCGTTTCGAGGCACCATGTGATGGTGACCGAGCGCCTGTATCTGAAATTTATGCCTTTGAGCATTCTGCAGACGGCAGTCAACGTTTATCGGACTGAACAAAACTGCCGCTGGCAGCATGTGCGAATCTTGAATCCAGGCCAAGCCCAGCGCATTGAGAAATGGACAAACATCCACAAATGGTACCGTCAACTGGTGCTTGTTGGCCGATATTAAACTTTTGCCGGACCCTCATATCCTCTTGAGCGCCGTGAAAGACAAGAACATATTCTCGACCTTGAACGGTAGAACCGAATTCAGAGAAGATGATGGCTTTCGTTTCGCCGAATAGAAATCGATGACGTGCTCGACGAACACAATTTCCCTGTCCAACAGTGAATTGGCATCCTTCAAGGGCAAGGGGGTGTTGAGTGAATGATCAGAATAGCCAAGCATGTGCCGCAACGCCACGACAGAGGGATGAAGAGCCCCTTTAGGAGGTGGTAGAGCAGACATTGAGCGATAGGTCGCTGCTCTAGGCAGTAGACGAAACATTGAACTCTTCAGCACCCGTTGCCCTTTTCGATTCCCCTGCTGCAGCTGCCAAAGATGGCGCCTAGGGTGCTGTTGTTCAAGACGGCCGTTGCAGGGCTGTTCGATATCCGGACGCTGTTACAATTTTGCTCGCTACGTACGGATTGTGCTTCTGGGCCAAAGATGCATGTCACCACAGTAGACAGTATCGCTCGTCATGGGGCCAACAGTGGCGAGGAACAGCTGCCATTCTGCAAGTCGTCACGGCATTAGTGTGCATTGCGTAAGACATGAAGCCTAGCATCAAACATCGCGGCCAAATTCTTGGTCAAGGAACCTTGTGGGCATCATCGATGGCTCTCAGATTGCGAGGAACTTCGTAGGCTGAAGCCAAGGCGCCGAGAGCAACAGCGGCAGAGACGGCGTAACCCATCGTGTCGGACAGCCTGGAGGCGGCGTGTTGCTATTAGCTTAAGCTAGCTTTCTTTTTTGCATGTTTGAAAAAAGTGTAAAAAGTTGGGCTTTGTCGCTCTTAAATATCGACAAGGGGGTGGCAATTTTCTTCCCCGGCTTGTAAAACTGAAATACGGGCATAAATGCAAACCCGCTGCACATGTCGCAAATCCTGCATCATCTCCTTGCAAATCAGAAATCACCCGGGATCGTGGAAAGATCGGAATGGCCAACTTGCTCAACTTCCGAGAGGCAGCACAAGCCTCATCCCAGTTCCGTGGCTTCGAGACGGGCCGCACCACCAAACCCGGCCGAGTCTTCAATCACGCCTTCTTGCCTAATTGTGGTAAAGTCTAGTACTGTAGACTCTCTAAAGGGCTTCTTCAATGGTCTGGTCTGCCAAAATGAACCATGTTCGACTGCCCGTCATCAACCAGTGGCTGATCCAACACACAAGCCATATGATGGCAGAAGAACTGACTACGGCTACATTATCCGGCGGCTCTTTTCTCAGGCCAGCACAAAAACCTTTTTAGAAATGGTATTTAAGAAAAAAAAAGTACCAGGTTCCACCTGTCAAGAAGCCTGTTGCGATTCAACCCAAGAGCCACGAGCTCCTTTCACCACATCTTCAACGACCATGCGCATCTCAAACACGGCAAGCATCGCCAGCAAGGCCATAGTCTTCGCCAGTCTGGCGAGTGCCGCCACCACCAACCCAAACGCAAAGGGAGCATGCCAACCTCCCGAAGGCGGTCCGAACGCCTGTGGTCCCAACGGCTCCCAGGAATGGCTCAACAGGGGCGTCAGGGGCAATGGCTGGAACCCCCCCCTCTTGGACGTCAGGAACATCACGCACGTTCCCCTGAAGGCCTTCTACAAAGGCATCGGGGCCGACTGTGAAAAGTACGACCGCTTCTTCAAGATCTCGGGCATGAAGTACGACATCAACCCTGCCATCCTGGCCTTCATCGCCTGGCAGGAATCTTTTTGCAAGGCTGACGCCACCGGCCCGGCGCCCGGACTCTTCCAATGCGACCCGAGCAATTGTCAAAACGGCAAGAAAAACTGCCAGTACCCCATCATGGAGAACTCCGACTGCGGTGCCCATGTCTTGCGCGTGGCCTTGAATCGTGCCGAGGGCAACATCATCTATGCACTGGGCTTGTATAATGGGTGGTTCACGGCTGGCGATAGGACCGGCCTCAACGGCGGAAAAGGCCTGACGGAGAACTACCCCTGCTCCGAGGAGGGAAAGGTGTATCGCGTCCCTTTGGATTTGAACTATCTTCACAATATGCTGAATGGGTGGTTCCAGGGATACGATATGCGGAGCGAGGACACGTATACCGGTGGAACGTATTACTGTCACTAAAACTGTGACGGCGGCAGCATTTGATGCTTTTTTGCTATTTTGCGAGTATTTTTTAATGTAATGGAAATATGGAGTAAATGGGTGGAAGAATGAAGACGCGTTTGAACACGGTTCCGAGATTTGATATAATCTGTGGATATGCCGTTGGAGTTATTCCAACTGAGCCAGGGGGCAAAAGACTGTAGACGCCTACGAGTTACTATCGTAATTGCCAAAATATCACATATTTCTTCCAACATATCCGTGAAGCTGTTGCTGCTCAAACACCGGCAATTACAAGCATCCTCAACACATGCAACAAGCAGGATCCAACAAATAGCCTAGTATCAAGTCGCAACAGTAGCTGGCAACGGTGAGCCTGCAAGCCGCATCAATCTCGAGCTTAGGCTGTCCCACGGCGCTGAAGCCTGACACAAACACCTCACGTCTTTCGACTGGTCTTTATCTAAGCCTACATAGGTCTTGATCTTTGACATGGCAACCTCTCAGAAAACTACGGTAAATACCTACGCGGCTCAGACATTCAACATCTACACAAGTCTACCGGTACATTGTTGCTGATTTGCTGTTGGGCTTGGTACATGGATTTTTCGGCGTCTATCAAGTCCATGCCTTTTGCCTCGACTTCTCGGTCGATGAAAGCTCCCGCAAAACCGGCCACGAAGATTTGGAGTAAGGTGTAAAAATGGGTACCCATGGGTAAAAATTTATGTAGCAGTACATCTATATGTATATAAATTTAGGTGCCTATATATGTCACAGGGAGACCCATGGGTACCCAAAACCGCAATATTTTACACCCTAATTTGGAGGGTATGCTTCGTTTTACTTTGCTGGCATTTGACTACTCAAAAGCACTGCTTTCCAAGATTTCCTTCGAGATGGTCCACGCAAGGATTGAATGTGCAGGGCCGCTGATGAGTATACCACCTCTATTAGAGACATGATATTAGCTGCAGTCGAATATGGTAAAAAGAATAAAAGCCCAAAACTACGTGGCTTGTTACCGTCGCGTCTCCGAGTTTCGTTGCCTGCGGACTTGTATGAATATTATATGCAGTTCTTTATTCGTGAAACAAGCCCTGGAGCCTGGAGCCACCAGCCGATATCGAGTAACACGGCATACATTTGCCAACTCCTCTACATATGTAGGCACGGCAAGCACCACAAGGAGTTTGGTATCACTCCAACTCAGCTACACACACCTGAACGGTCCTCTTTGAGTTCCCCAAATCCCAGCCACACAACCGCATCTGGCATCCATTTCAATCGACGCTGCCTACTCCCAATGTCCTGGAAATTCTACAATCCTCCATCCTCTCCTGTCTACATCATGCTTTTCCCATCGCACTTCTTTCAGAGCTCCTCTCCAAGAAGCTCGGGCCGTGGAAAGTTGACAGTAGCCTTGAGGCAGGAAATGTTCTCATCTTCCTCAGTGTACGCATCGGCAAGAACAGTGTACACCCCCTTGTAGCACGTTAGCATCACATGCCAAGACGTCGCAGAGAGCATTGCATACCGGAGGGATCGCAGAGGGCATGTCCATGCTCTTTGTGAGGACTATTTTGCCAGGCTCAAGAGGGCAGCTTAAGTCGACGTTCTGCGTCTGCTCGCACAAGTCCGCTGTAGTGGCGAGGAGTTGAATCAGGCCATACTTCACGACGACCTTGACGTAGGCACCGCGGGCGATTTTCTTCTTGATGTCTCCTTTGAAGGTTACGAGTAGAGGCTTTCCCCTGTGTGCGAGTAAGCAATGCATCAAAAATGAAGATGGACATGTGCTTACGGTTTAGGAGGATTGGGAGAAATGTCCACCTTTTCAATCTGTACGGCGTCGTGGTCGCGATTGGATTTGCAGAACTCGAGGGGGGATTCTCCCGGGACTCTGAGACTGTCGGCTGCTACCGCCGTCAGGCAGGTAGCCAGCCAGACCATGGCAGAAGGAGGCTTCATCTTGATGGGAAGTAGGTCGGAAGCTTGGGGTCAGATACGGTCGTGATGGAGCTTGACTGGGGAGCCAAGATTGAAGAGTCGTGTACGGAGTAGGAATATAAGGAATTGAAAATCGTATGGCCGCGATTGAAAAGGGGGAGAAAATATTTCGTTTACGATACGGAGTGCTGCTCCGTGCCTCCCAGCCTCCCACTCTCCCAGCCATTGGCACAGCTCAGCCGGCGAAATGAACCTTGACGTATAATATTCCGAATTTTCAGACTTGTCTCACTACAGGAACTCGAAAGACGGCCTACGCGGACCTCGGCGTAGCTGAACTGGCACATGTAGCCGGTGTTACACCGCATCAGGCACAGGCATGGTCTGGCTGAAAGCCCACGCGATACTCGTCGCATCTTCTGCCTTGTCTTCTACAACCTAGGCAAGAAAACAGAACAAGAAAACAAACACAGATTGAATTCATTTGCAAATTCTAGTCATTGCATTACTATGCCACTTACTAGTGACGTCGTGCGACTCAAGCCGTTCTCCCACCGCCACGTCAAGGGCATGTGAGACATACACCTACACCAAATTCCAGTACTGGACAGGCAGTGGAAGAGCAGCCGAGCACGTGTGAATTCTGTCAGGTTTCGTTGATACTGTCGGTGGCTGTCTTCCACCGCTTGCTAGTATACCAAGCATGGAGTGTGTAGATATATACACATGGCTGCAGCATTTTGGAGCTACGTTCCCTCTGGTGCTCTAATGTATCAACTTTGAAGGCAAGCATGGTCCTGCAATGCCCCTTTTGTAGCTTCTTCGTCCTTGACTGCACTCGTCTAGAGTACGATTACCTTTCAACAAGCATACACCACATAATACGGCACGTTTTGGTCTTGCGCGTGATGGTCCGGCATCTGGTCCGGCTGAGACTCGTCGTCTTCTGCTGCATGACTACCCAGCACGTCTCGTTAATACCTAGTTGCTGCCATCTCAGTGCCGGTCATCATGCTCCATGCAGAGATGGAATTGACTTTGGATTGAGCAAGTATCTGACATGACTATGGCTTCGTCTTATATGACGATTTAGGTTGTAATGATTTGTGCCATCAACGAATGGTTTCCCTTATTATTGGTCAGTTTAGGCAACCAGGGTGAAGCGTGAAGACTTGGACGATGCGTCAACAATGCAACATGTGTCTTGCTTCTCAATTATTATGCTCTTTATTCTCCTTCCAGTTCGTCTCTGCACAGCTGTGGAGCGACCTGCAACCACTCTATTTACACGTGCTTCCAATGGCGCAATCCTTGCACACCCATCACGCGAGATGTGTCGCAATGCGCGCCGCAACCTTCACCAAGCCAGCCAATCACGGCCATGCAGTCTGCAGGTTCTCTTTCGAATATAAAAGGGAGACGTGCTTACAAAAGATACAAAATGTAAATCCTATAAAGTGTCTTGATATTGCTGTTCGACTGTCCTTTCAATTTTGTCTGGTCAAGTGAAACATGTCGGCCCAGCTTACATCCAACGCCGCCGCCAGGATCGCAACAGACCCAAATGTCCATGATCAGTATCGCTCGACGTGGGCAGAACAACCCAAAAAGGACGGTGAATGGATCCAACGAGCCAAGGATGTCGCAGCTGTATTAGCAGCAGACGCCGTGCAACGCGACCGTGAGAATAAGTCACCGCGTGCAGAGATTGCTTTATTAAAACATTCCGGCCTTCTCAAAGTCTTGGGGTCGCAACGATATGGTGGCGGGGAGCAGCCTTGGTCCGTTGGAAACCAGGTTATCCGCGAGGTAGCCCGTGGAGATGGGTAGAAACAATCTTCTTCCCTCTTTGTCAGAGAACCAAGCATCCTAACATGGCCGGACAGATATATTGGAATGCTCCTGGGATATCATCTACTGTGGTCGACAATTGCACGAGTTGTCGGATCGCCAGCTCAGGCTGAACGGTTTGAAGAGCTCATCATTGCCAACAATTACTTGGTAGGAGGCGCCGTCAACCCTCGGGACAATGACCTCACTATCACGAGGGACGGTGACGGGCTTGTTTTTGAGGGCTTCAAGTTTTTCAACACCGGCGGCGTCATTTCCGACTTGACTGTCCTTGAGGGATCTTATGAAGGCACTTCTGACCACATCTTCACAGTTGTCAAGACAGACCAGCCTGCTATTGTCTTTTCTCACGATTGGGACAACATCGGGCTGCGATTAACAGAATCCGGCAGTGTCAAGATTAACAAGGTCAGGGTGCCCTGGTCCGACGCTTTGGGATGGGATCCCGTAGCTAAGAGGCCAAACGCCTCTGATCTCGGCGTACCGTTTGCGACCCTGCTTCTACCAACGTAAGTGGCGGGTTTGTCACACGCATTTCCAGGCAGGCGACTTACATTGCAAGTAGTATTCAGCTTGTTTTCAGCAACTTGTATCTTGGAATTGCTTGGGGAGCCCTGGACACAGCCACGACTTACACAAAGAAGTCTACTAGAGCCTGGCCCTTTGGCGGTGATGTAAGTGTAAAATCCCCCCCCCCCCCCCCCCTT